AATTTACATTTCAATTTAAGGAGTATTTAATATAAAGTCAAAATCTTTTTATGTTTTTGTTACCTACTATGTACTACTACTAAGCATAGAAATTAAAGTACAGCTGTATTATATGTAAATTAAATGATGAAATGTAAAGATTCCTCTTTCACTTACATTCTATGAGTCTAGATTTTTATGATCCTCTGAGATGATTATAAACTTTGTAAAAGTATCCTTCAAATGCTGCACAATTAATAAAAAAAAAATCTATGTTATAGCTCACCAAAACTTCTCTTAGGCAATGCTTGTAATAAAGATTACTCAGCAGAAGTTAGTTGACTATTTGACATTAATTAACAAGATGTGGAAAGCATAAGTTAGGATGACTACCTACAAAAATACATTAAACCATTAGATTTCCTGTCTATGGTGCAGTATGTTAAAAATTTTCATTCTCATTCCATCAATATTCTTACTATATACCAAAAAATCCTTTTATATACAAATGAAATTCACATAGGGAGTCAGTTTATAGGTGGTTTTTATTATAATACATCATTTATATTATTATTTTAATATCTTATAACTTGTAAACTTGAGTTGAACATATAAGATGAAAGATAGAGTTTCATCTTTTTCTAAGAATAATATTTTTATTAAATGCACCTCAACTTCCTTCTCTACAAAATACAAATTGGGTATACAGGCATCAAATGAAAATTATTTCTCTTTCCCGCATGCAGCCATCTGTGTTAGGTCAATAATTGACTTTGTTGTGTTTTGGAACCTGAAAGTAATGTCTTTTGTGCAGAGTTGACTTATTTTTGTTGTGATGTACAGAATGGGCTGTCTCCACTACACATGGCTGCTCAAGGGGACCACGTGGAATGTGTGAAGCACCTGTTACAGCACAAGGCACCTGTTGATGATGTCACCCTAGACTACCTGACGGCCCTCCATGTTGCTGCACACTGTGGCCACTACCGTGTAACCAAACTTCTTCTGGACAAGAGAGCCAATCCGAATGCAAGAGCTCTGGTAAACTGAGCCCAGTCCAGCTTACTCTATACAGATCAAGATGCACAAACCTACACTGAATGTTCAGTGGTGCAGACACTAGCAATGCATGGTGGTAGATATGTGGCAAATTCTTTTGACTTCACTTTCCATTAGCTACCAGCTGTAGCCATGCCTCCATGAATGATGGTGAGCAAGGAAAAATTTAAGAGAACACCAAAATATTATTTCAGAATACATATGAAGCCTCTGGAGTGATAAGCAATTTTAAATGTGAGATAGAGACTGAAAAAGAGAAACAACTATAAAATATATCCTAAACATTTCTAGACAGTCATATTTAAAGGTATGAAAGGGTTGAACTTCATGATTTTTTTAAAATTATAAATTTATTTTACTACTTTCAAGGTAGTAAATGTAAGCGTGTGAAGTGCTTATTTGGTTGTTTTCTTTACTGATGGGATTAAGTAATGTTGTGCGAACAGAAAAGTGATGTCTAGCTTCTGACTGTTTTGGTAAGCAGTTTTTATATGCTAGTTCAGGAAATAAATCAAGAGAAAACTGCAAAAGGCTGCCCATTGAGCACAGTCCATATTTCCTAAGGTCTAATAGTGAATAAATCTTTCTTGCTTCACTTATACTCTAACAATATAGTGTATTGGGCATGTACTAATTTATGCCTCTTGTTTCCTAATTCACAAACTAAAAGCAAATCTTTAATTTTCCCATTTGTTTACATGATGTTGTCAATTAAATTTGTCCTTCAAGTATTCAATATTGAAGATGAGAAGACATTATTAGCAGCAAAAATTAAATGTTGTTTGTATTGGACATTTTCCATTAGAATCATTATGTTCATAATTTCCTGGGAATGCAGTATACTTTTCGGGTTATATAAAATGATTTGAAGATATATATTGCCTTATAAAAAGGAAACTAGTTGTTTTCAATTGCCTTTTGGGTAATAGGGCTACAGAATAGAATAATTTAATAGTTGCCAAATATTTTGTGTGCTTTGCATACACATGGTGCATTATTTAGCTCATAAATGGGAAATTGCTTAAAGTTAGCTAATTACTCATATTCTAAGAAGTAATAAATCCCTAGTTTATATAATACACTATACCTTCCCAAGAGTTACTACTGAGCAGAAATACTGAATTAGATCATTCTTTGTTGTGCCGTGCGAAACTATCATAATCTGGAAGTTAGATAGAACTCAACAAAATGACCATTGTCCGGATAAAAAAGAAAACTGAAATATAATGAATAAAGTTTAAATATATGAATAGTTTTACAATTTTACCTAAATGTACACACAGTTTTGAAAGTTAGAAAGTAATTTAAAGACATTTTTACTTTCACTCTTTTGTGTCTGAGAACTCCGTCAAGTTATGTCAGACATTCTCCATTCTTTTCCTGTTAATATTTGGTAAACTAATAATAATTCCTTTATAAAGTAAAAAACATTCTATGTTAATAGATTTTATAAAATCATTTTAAGAATTAAGACCTCCAGATATAAAAATATTATCAGCATAATTAAAGATTTTTGCTAATTTACGGCACTTTATCCCTTAAAAATGGTAATAAAGTAGAATCATTTATTGCAGAGGCAGCCATGTCCTAATATTTTTCTCTAAATTAGATCAACAGTTTATATTCTTTCAAGAAATGGCTCTTCTTCAGGAAAAGAAACACTTTCTATTCAGTGTACCTTCAAGCCATTTCACAGCCTAACTTGATAGTGTATGTACTTTAGAGCATAGGGCTATGTTTCATCTTCACTTCTGTTTTCTTGGTAACAGTACAAACTATTATATACAGGACCTACCCCACATCAACTCAATTCAGTGCCTCTAGGAACCAACTATGCCCTCTTTTCCCACATTCCAACACCTAAGGGTTGGAGGAAATGGTAACACTATGTGACGATATAACATTATTGCCTGCAATGTGCCAGCATGGAGTTGTGTGAGAATCGTATTTGCATGTTTTCAACTAACTTGATTGTCTTTTGCACAGAATGGTTTTACTCCACTGCACATTGCCTGCAAGAAAAACCGCATCAAAGTCATGGAACTACTGGTGAAATATGGGGCTTCAATCCAAGCTATAACAGAGGTAGAAACAAATATTTCAGCTTCTCCAGAAACATCTTCTCGTACTTCTCCCTCCTCTTCCTTTCACCCATACTCTGTTCTCATCACTCAAGTTTGATTTATCTGATGAAGCCCCAAAGCCCCACCAGTGCAGAGGAGTAAAACTGCTGTTGCTTTGTTTCGCAGTCTGGCCTCACACCAATACATGTGGCTGCCTTCATGGGCCACTTGAACATTGTCCTCCTTCTGCTGCAGAACGGAGCCTCTCCAGATGTCACTAACATTGTGAGTATGGCTTGGGTTAGAATAACCGCAAGAACACAGGACGAGAAGGAGAGAGTTGTGTGTGTGCATAAGACAGAGAAAAAGAAAGTGTGTGTGTGTGTGTGTGTGTGTGTGTTCAAAATGAGTGATTAAGCTTTTAGAAGGCTTCTTTAATCCGTATTTTGAAATAATTTCTAAAACTTCACTGCAAAGAGCCTCAATAAGTTAAAAATAAGTGAGGAAATAAATGGAACCTGTGGAGTAAGGCATCCCTTTCAGATACAGATAAATTAAATATACATCTTAAATGCATTTATTAGGACCAAATACATTTCATCCAGTGAATGGATGATTGCCTAAATACAATCTTTAATACATAGCCCAATTACTTAAATGAATCAATCATATTTCAGATAATTTTTGTTGAAATGGCAAAGCAATATGGTGCGTACCATAGTACATCATTTCAAAATAAATGTACATATAAATCATACAAGTACATAGTAAATCATATCAAAAGAATGTGTCAAATTTAACTTAAATTTGACAAATTTAGATTTAATCTAAATCCTTTGTCAAGATTTAATCTAATCCTATGTCAAATTTTATCTAAATGTTAAGCAGAGACATACAAAAATTGGAAATTTTACTTGCTATCAAATCACCAATTACATGAATTTTTCCATTTTCTAATCTAACTCACTGGAGAGAGGATGAAAGGCACCCAAGCCTCGAGTACTCTCCTTCATAGGGTCGCTATGAGTTGCCTGCAACACGACGGCACTTAACAACAACACCAATCTAACTCATGGTAGCTGTGAAGCTGAACACTGTGACACTGATGTGTCAAATGTGATTATGGTTCCCCATGGTGGACAGTCTGTGATGGAGTTCCCTGATTAGAACAAGCTTGGAAGCAGGAGTGGCATCCACTTCCAAAAGAGCTTGCCTCCAGAAACCCTAGGAACGTGGGGAAACGATGAAAGTTATACAAGTGTTCAAGTCTTCTGTTCATAGGGTCACTATGAGTTTCCTATGACTCGACAGCACTTAACAATTTTACCTTAATTTTTTAATTTTCATTTTCTTTTCCTGGCTAGGGGCCTCTGTTGGCCTAGTGGTAAGGAGTTGTGTTGCCAACCAATGGCAGCAGATCTGAGTCCACCAGCTGCTCCTCAGATCAAAGATGGGTAATCTCTTCCCAAGTGACATATCACCTCCGGAAATCCAATGACCAATCAGTCATGAGTCAGTTCTGGCTTGACAGCAATAAGTTTGTGATTTTTGAGTGCTTGATAGAATGAAAGTCTCTCTTAAGAGATAACACTTTGATAGACTGGATATTGCAACTTTTTTCTTAAGTATACTAAAATTAATCTATAAAACTTCCATTTTGCTAACCAGTTCTAGAGTTCATGTCTCTAATCTAAATTAGTATTTACACTTTTTTTTCAATTTTTCCACTTTTCTTGATCTCTAGCCCTTTATACAATTCCTGGTCATATTATTGTGGCAAATAGTCAAATGCAAATTTTACCCTTAACAAAAAAAATTTGCTACTGTACATTGTGATTAAAAAAATTATGCAGCAGAAATAACTCACTACAAATAGGTGTTCTTATTTATGACTAAAATGAATTCTAACCCCCAAAGCAATTGATAGATTTCTATTAGTGCCTTTTTTGTTTTCTCATTCCATTTGAATTGTGAGACAGAATGTCAATGATTATATTTTCTTTGTATTCCCATTTCATCCTCATTTATCTGTATTTTGCACACTGCTTCAAATTTCTGATGTTTGAGCAAATTCAACATGGAAATAAACTTATTTTTTTGCTAAATATTACAAAATGCTTTCTATTTTTTTCACAATTGGAACATTAAAACATTTAAATAAGAATTTTATGGTCGTAAGTTTCCAAAATTATGACTTACTTATTATACATTAGTCTTTAATTACTCTATTAAGCATAAGAAGAATTTTTTAAAAATTCTAGTCTTCATTTGTTTTTCTAGTCATTTAACTTTAAGTCACCTCCTCATTTGTTCGGTGAGATTCCACACTTCCCAAAGTCTTTTTTTATTAACAACTATGCAGTTTATGAATAGATCAGAATTTTAAAGAAAAGGACTCTGTGTACATGTCCAGTGTATATATATTGCTCGTTTGCATTTCAGTGCCTATAGGATTATATCAGTGGTGACATTGTGTTAAATTTTATTATCATGACATAATAATAATACCTTGTACAAGTATATTCTGTATAATCCTTCACTAAAATTCCCTAGTTTACTTTTTGTGTAAATTTTCTAAAGAGTAATCCATGTCAAATAATTGTGAGACTTTGTCTCCACTCAATTTGAGTTTTATCAGACCAGTTTTCAATCTTTTGAGGGTTATTGTTTTACAACATGTTGCCCTCTCAGTAAAGTTTTAAAAGCTATATACCTCTTATTTGCCTGAGAAAGATGAGCAATATCCTTCCGTGCAATTAACTGTCTCTAAAAACCCTCCAGAGAATCAGTTATGAATATGTTCCAACTCTGTGGTACACAACAAACGACCATTTATTTATTCATACCCTGGTGACTTGGTGGTAAGGAGCTGCACTGCTGACCCAAGAGAATGTGGTTTGAATCCACCAGCTGCTCCACAGGAGAAGCAGGGCAATCCATTCCTGTTGAGATTACTGCCTCTGAAAACCTGCTGGAGGGTCAGCCATGACTTGATTCTGACTCAAGTGCACAACAGTAGCACATAGACTACTTGTAAATTTTCAAGTATAAATATAATGTTAAAAACAGTAATATTTTCACATCCCTTCAGATCCTTTGATATTTCTTGACAATTGATGTATGGAACTTTAAATGTTTGCCTAAGGTTCTTCATTTTGTTTTAGCTTATCATTTGTCAGTGAGATACTTTGTTTTTCAAGTTCCCTTGAAACACACATTAAGAAATAACTCTGTTATCATAATTTTCCAACAACTTTCTTAGGCTTTTAAAACATTATTAATTTTGTTTTTCTTAATTATATGTTCAGGGAGAATATACCATCTAGATAGGGTTGGCAGATAAGCTACAGAACTCTCGGTTAAATTTGAATTTCAGATAAACAGCACTTTTTTTACAATTAAGTTTGTATCGTATAAGATCTGTTGGAGAAAGATGGACCAGCTATGAGTCAGTTCTGACTCGACAGCAGTGAGGTTTTTTTAGTTTTAAACTCAAAGTATTACTTGGTTGTACTTTGCATTTTTATTTAATACTTTGATATTACTTTGGATTTTTATTTTTTTTGGCCGAAAATTTGAATTTAACTGATCATTCTGTATTTTTATTTGCTAAATCTGGCAATGTTACATTTACAGGAAGTTAACTTTCCTTGGCAGTGGAATGCTTGTGAGCTTGTGTATTCTAAGTCATGATGATTTAGTTACTAGATCCATGGCGTCTTGCAGGCTGCAAAAGAATCTGCGTGGACACCTACTGCCTGCTTGCTGTGTCAGAACTGGTCATAAGCAGACCCCCAAGCTCCCTTCCCTTTGGAGGCTTTGTGTGTTGCTTGAAATTGTGTTGCATTTTGAATGCAATGCTGTCTGTTGTGCTTTGATGCTTTCCAACTCAATGCAGCCAAAGTGGAAGTCAATGTAGATGCCACCAGAGTGAGTGTTAACAACTGAGTACAGGGGCATGAGTCTTAGAACCTGCTTTGGACATGAGCATACCCATTTTCTGCCAGTCTTGTTTTTGTCTTAAAAATTCACTCTACATTAATGATGTACCAACTCGATCATGAGAAGATCTGTTCTGCTTCTCAGAAACCTTATAAATGCACTTTGAAACCTAGAAAACAGGACTGCCAGTTACAGTAGATCTGTATTCCAAGTATTTATTGACTGAAAAACTGGAATAGAAAGTTATATACTTTCAAGGCCATTAAAGGTACAATGGGAGGTATTATAGTTTTCTCTTCTTGCTATAATAAACCGGTGGATTCACAGCAAAGGTAGCACTCTATTTTGTTTAAAAATGTTCCTTTTTAAAAATTTCCTTTACCTTTAAAATTAATTAGGTTAAAATGAAGACAAGGCTATTGTAGGTGGTATGAAACACAATGTATACAAACTTTGTAAGCAACCAAAGACTATTGCATAAGATGGGGTGCCTAGTACTCAGGAAATATTAGTATTTAAAACAACATATACTATACTTACCTGACAGAGGAAATACTATGATCACAAAGGTGGTTTTCCAGAATGAGGCTTATCCATTGCATTCCGGATGTGCTGACCCCTGTTATTTCTGAAACACGGGAAACTTGACTGCATAATTTATGGTCGTAGGGGACTGCAGTCATGCTCTCCCCTAAGGAAAAAAAGAAGAAAAACCAACACACCATCTTCTATCATTGATATTTTTCTTCTTGTATATAAATGTATCAAAGCCACCCTAATGGACAGAGTAGAACTGCCTCATAATTTCCAAGTCTGTACATTTTTTATGGAAGCCGACTACCTCATCTCTTTCCCATGGAGAAGCTGGCGGATTCAAACAACCCACTTCTCCATTAACACAGCATGCCGCTAGGGTACCAATAGATCAATATAAGTAATATAAATACACAAAAATAAGTGCTCTTTTTACTCTAGAGTCATTAAATAAGAGTTAAACCAGAGCATAAAGTAGAGAAACAATGTGTGGGTATAAATTTAAAAGTTTTTAATTAGGTTTCCAATTTAACTCATCAATTTCAAAGATATTAAAACTTTTAAAAGTACTTAATACTTATTTTAACATAAAATAAGGGTTCTGAAATTACTAAAACTAATATTAGGTACTTTTTTACCTTTTTAAAACTTATTATTTGATAAGTTTGAGGTATAAAATGAAGATATTTATTCAACATTGAATAGGAACTCCTCATGCAATGCTAAATTAATTCTGCCCAAGTTTATTCTTGTCTTACCAAAATGGGTAAAGATAACATCTGTTTATGTGGCTATCTTTAGACTGAAGAGTTAACATGTTTGTTATTTTTTAATTGAAAATTTTAATATCATCCATTTGGTAATAGTAATTAAGTTATATAGAAAATAAATTAGAAATCATGGTTGTCCAGAGAGGAGATAATTGCTGTATTTGAGAATGTTCTAAGTCTGAAAACAAAAATTGTTATTTTATGTTATTTTCTTAAGCAATATGCTCCAGATATATTTGCTTTCTAAAAAGAAATATTTCATAAAAAAAATAAGGCATTAAGTAATACATGAGTCAGGAAGAAAGAAGTTAAAACTATAGTATATATCCATGCTTTAAAATAAAATAATATTAAAATTATTTATACTCAGTTCATAAATCCTAGTTCCCTGAAAACTGGAAAAAATGAACAGAGATGTGTGACAAACTACAGTTCACTTTAAAATTTCTAAGTTTAAGAGTCTATTGGGTAAAGAATCTGAAGTAGTTACCAGCTAACAATTATTGAAATTCATCAGAAATATTAAAATTAACACAACAGACTTTAGCATGAATTTTTGTTATTTCAAATTATACACTTTCTTTGGTTGAATTCTCATTTGTTCTATAAAATTGTTGTGGTGAATAAATACGTAATCATTTATATTCCAGTATATTTACTTCTGTAACTGTAAATTACATACATGACAGAAAATATGCCTTCTTTAGAACTGAATGTGGTTTTAAAATACATGAATTTGAAAACCAAAACACAACTATCCTAGCCAAAGGAATTAACAGGTCTCCCAATGAGAAAATTCCCTTAATTCTAACCTTGATCCTTCATGCCACAGCCTAAGCTACTATTTCCTGATAATGTGTCATTCTTTGGTGCAACTTGAAGACACCTGAAGAGGGAAATCATCTCAAGTGCTGCCTCCCTGGATAAATGATATTGTTAAGAGTTGCTTTGCTCATTTCTCAGTATTCTGCTCAAATAACTAAAATATAATTCAATGTGTTCATTAATACATAAAAAGGAATTTATAGGGCCAATAAAATATCTTCTGTTAGTATGCATAATCTTGTCTCATTAAACAAAGTTTGTTTCAAAAGTAAGTATTGATTTTTGAAGAAAATTTATTTAGGCATAGTATAAGTGGGATCGTGTTTGCAATGTAGTGACATGATCTTCAGCATTTAGAATTTACTGTTAAAATGGAAATGAGTTGGCGAAATATAGTTAGGTATGACTGTGACAGGAGACTCAAGTATCAGCAAAAACAATGTAAAATATGCTAGATTGATAATGAAGTTAAACTTTAGGGTATCTAGGGTGTTTGGGTAAGTTCACTGGTTGTCATGGACCAGAAAAAAAAATCTTCCATTTATATTTTTGAAGAAGACAAAAGAGACTCAAACTATGTTTTTTCAAGACTAAATAATCATATCTTTTCATGTGGACATCTTAAATCCTTGGATATGGTGCTGAATTTCACACAAAAAATGGGACATCTGTATTCTTTACCATCTGGAGTAGTGGGTTTATTTATGATTCCACAATCTTTGTTTCCTGGCAGCGTGGGGAGACTGCACTGCACATGGCTGCCCGGGCAGGGCAGGTGGAAGTCGTGAGATGCCTCCTGAGAAATGGTGCCCTTGTTGATGCTCAAGCCAGGGTAGGTGCTGTTCCTCATTCTCTTCCATTTATGCCATTCTGACCTTTAAGAGAGGACTGACCCTTCATTTCTTTGATTGGAACTGATATAAATTATTAGTGAAACTATTACTTAGAATGCTTTCAGGTTAAAAGAAAAAAGAAAAATTATAGCAAATGTACACAATGGCAGATGCATCCCAAGCTTCAAAAACTGAGAAAGTATCATTTAGTATCTAGTAATTATATCACTGACTTCTATTTTCATTTGTTTTAGTCTATGAAATCACTTTCACATATATCACATCATCTCTGTTAATGTTTGCATTTTACAACTGTTGTCTGGATACTAGAAAACTATGGTCCAGGAGATCTCTACTCATAGTGACTCTACTCATAGAAGACTGGGGAGACTTCTCCACAGGTTTTCAAGACTAATCTTTAAGGAAGCCAGTGGTCTCATCTAGCTCCTATCAAGTGGGTTTAAGTGGCTTGGTTCAAGTGATCTTTTTTTTTTTTAATTAAAATTTTAACCATTTTTCTTATTGTAGAACGTACTCCCATTTCTACATGTACGATTCAGTGACATTAGTTATAATCTTGGAGTTATGCCTCCATTTCCAACCTCGTTTGCTGAACTTTTCTTTCTCCATCAATATAAACTCACTGCTCCCTAAGGTTGCACTCTAATCTTTTCATTTGCTGTTGTCAAGTTGAGGCCATAAAGATAACAGTTGGTGAGCAGTGAAGTTCTTATCCACCGCACCACTGAAACTCCTTATAGATGCTGTTGTTGATGGGAGCTGTCAAGTCAATCCTGACCAATCACGATCCTATGAACAGCCGGTCTGTTTCTGTCTTGTGCTGTGCCATTCTTATCATCTCCAATATATTCTGAGCCCACTGGTTTTGGGTTTTGTTTTTAATTATCTCATCCACTTTTTTATAAATATGAATTGCATTTCCTAGAGATTCTCTTAGGCAAATTGAGAGTCAAGAGAAATTACTGCTAAAGTTTGCATCATTTTCACACTGAATCTTGGTGAATATTCTTTTCCCCCTTCATTTTCTACTAGTTTATTTACAAAATTAGAATAAATAGTTTTCAAGAACAAATTCTTTCCATTTCCCTCACCATCCACCCGTCAAATTATATAACCCCATAATTTATTCCCCCTTCCTCTGCACATCTTCATCCTTCTGCTTCCAAACTCTCCTAACCCTCCTGGATCCTTATACTCATTCATTCTACAGTAAGGGTTTTATACAATATTTGTCCTTGTGGGACTGAGGTAGTTCACTCAACATAATGCTCTCCAGTCCCTCCCAAGTTAGGGAACAATTTACAGAATCATTGCTCCTGTGAGTGGCACTGTCATTATCATTCTTTCAGTCTTCCTTGTTGAGGTTATTATGCATTAAAGTTTGGTTTTTACACTACAGCAAATCAAACTTCGGCCACTTTTTAAAATAATTTCACTGTTTCCCCCTAATCAGTTTCATATCTTTCCTATGAGTGCTTCCTTTCATCTTGTTTTAACATTAATTATTGAAATGTTCCATTTTAACTATTTCAAAACAAAATCATATTGGCAATGGGGGCTTAATCAGACAAACTTGTTCCTGATTACTTCTAATCCTAACATTTATATGTTGTTGTTGTTGTTACATGCTGTCGAGTCGCTTGCGGCTCATAGAATCGCTTTTGGCTCATAGCAACCCTGTGTACAAAAGCCCTAAACCCTGCTCTATCCTGTGTCAATCACACTGTCTCTGACACACCCATCCCAATGACCCCAGTCACTGAATCAATCCACCTCATAGAGGGTCTTCCCTTCCTACGTGGTCCCTCCACCCTCCCAAGCATGATGTCCCTCTCCAAGGACCTGTCCCTCCTTACAACATGCCCAAAGTATGTCAGACGAAGCCCCAGAATCCTTGCCTCCATGGAGCAGCCTGGTTTAACCCTCTCCAGGATGAATCTGTTTGCTTTCTTGGCAGTCCAGGGTACATTCAATACTCTTCTCCAGCACCACAGCTCAAAGGCATCAATTCTCCTTCTATCCTCCCTAGTCATTGTCCAACTCTCTGATGCATAACAAGTGATTGCAAAGACCATGGCCTGTATCGGATACACCTTAGTCTCCAGAGTGACACCATTGCTCTTCAATACCCTGGAGAGGTCCCTAACAGCAGATTTCCCCATCTCAATACATCTTTTAATTTCCTGGCTACTGGTGCCAAGAGTGCTGACTGTAGAGCCAAACAGACTAAAGTTGTTAACAAACTCAATCTCTTCACCATCCATCCTGATGCTGCCAATTGGTCCAGTGGTGAGACTCTTTGTCTTCTTGATAATGAGCCTCAATCCATACCGAAGGCTGCAGCAAGTGCTTCAGGTCCTCCTCAGTTTCAGCAAGCAGGGTTGTGTCATCTGCATAGAGCAGATTGTTAATAGATCTTCCACCAATCCTAATGCCAAACATCTCCTCAAAGACCCCAGACTCTCATATAATCTGTTCTGCATACAGATTGAAAAGGTATGGAAATAGGACACATCCCTGGTGTACACCCTTTCCAATTTTGAACCATGCAGTATTTCCTTGCTCTGTTCTGACGACTGCCTCTTGGTCCAAGTATAGGTTTCACATTAGCATGATCAGGTGTTCTGGGATTCCCATTCTTCTCAGAGTCAGCCACAGTTTGTTATGATCTACACAAATACCTTTGCATAATCAATGAAGCACAGATAGACATTCTTCTGGTATTTTCTGCTTTCAGCTAAGATCCATCTAACATTACCTAAAATATCCCTAGTACCATAACCCCTTCTAAACCCAGCCTGGACTTCTGGCAGTTCTCTGCTGATGTGCTGTCCCAGTCATTTTAGGATAATCTTCAGTAAAATCTTGCTTGCATGTGAAATCAATGATATTGTTCTATGGTTTCCACACTCTGTTGGGTCACCCTTCTTTGGAATGGGAACAAATATAGATCTCTTCCAGTATTTATATGCATCTATATATCCTTCTTAAAAATACCACTTCCTATTTTCTCACCTTTTTCCTTCAGACTGATTAAACCAGTAATTTTAGAGTATGCATTAAGTCTTCAATTTTGTTTTCCACATGACTCCAATGATTTTTGTCTCTTCCAAGCTGTTGCAAAATATTTAAATACTTTCTTCATCAATATTTGTTATATTTAATCTACAACTCATTTCAATATTAGGCATATCTTCTGATTCCATTTTGGAAACAGGATTTCAATGGAATGTAAACAACCAGCTAGAGTCCTACTAATTATGGGGATTTTCAGACAAGTCACTTTACTATTTAGTTCCTCCATTAATATGTATGGTTTATACTGAGCTATCTCTAAAGTCTGCAAACTTTCTCAACATTCTATGTGAAATATATGTTGTTGTTGTTGTTGTTGTTAAGTGTCATTTTTGTTGTTGTTGTTGTTAGGTGCTGTGGAGTCGAGTACAATTCATAGCAACCCTATGAAAAAAAGATCTGAACCCTATTCTATCCTGCACCATCCTCACACTTCCTGTCACACAAGAGCACATTGCAGCAGTCACTGTGTCAATCCACCTAACTGAGGGTCACTGTTATTATTTTACTTTACCTTTTGTGTATGTTTTATCTCTTAGTCTGCATATATAAGTGAACATTTTTAAATTATTCTTCCTAGTTTAAGTAATTCCCTCCAGCAATCTTCTGATTTGAGATAACAAAATATCATCCCATTAGAGAGCAGAGTTGCTTGAAAGTCAGTGTATGTAAATATCATCCAGAGATACTGTTAAATGCAGATGGAGATCTACATATAGGTCTGGAGTCTACTTTTCCAACAAGCTCACTGGTGGTGCAGAAGCTACTGATCCTGGGATTACATTTTGAGTCGCAAGGAGCTTAGCTTTTTTTCTTTTTATCTGTTCTATTTAGATTATGCTTTCACCATAAGTCTATAATTTTCACTTAACCCTTTAAGGCTTTCCCGGAGCTCTTTTATTTTGTTAACGTGTACGTTACTTCATAATTCAAAAGGCCTTGCACTCTACAGGCACAATAAACAATCTTGTATTGTGAGGTGAGGATTGCCACATGATGATTTAAGGCCCTGAAGTTCGAGATTACACTGATTTCACTGAGGTCTCAGACTTCAAAAGGATCAGTTAGAAGATGCTAAAATGTGGTCTCTTTCTATTACTTCATACTGTTCAAGTTCTCTATTACTTTCCCTCTGTATCTGCTGCTTTAAGATACAAGTAACTTCTTCAGGGACATTTTTGTATCTTAAGGATGGTTTAGGCTCCTAGAACAGAAATCCACTCAGCCTGTTGTATTTAGGTGCCTTCAAGCTGACTGTGTCTCACAGTAGCCTCTGAACAACAAATCTGAACCTCACCCTCTTGTGCCATTCTCACATTCTGTGCCTTGTTCAGACCCACTGTAATAGACACCACGACAAACCATCACTGGGGGGATCTTCCTCTCACTCATGCACCCTTGACTTTTCCCATTAGGATGTCTTTTTCCAAGGGCCAGCCCCTCCTGACAACATGCTGAAAGTATGTGAGACTAAGTTTCACCGTCCTTGCTTCTAAGGACCACCGTAGTTTTCACTAATATTAGTTTAAACAAAAAAGGAGTCGTGGGAGAGGAGATTACTGCTTCATACTGCTAAAAAGTTTCTGAATGGAGCTGACTTCAGTGATGATTGCGGAATTCAAGACAAGAAATCATTTCATAGGGTTCTCATTCCTCCTTTCCTTGTCTCATTCCTGCCTTCTTTCATTTCTTCCTTTAGTTCTATTTCTTTCTCCTCATACTTTACTGCTTACATAATTACTCCTATGTCTGATATAAAGAGAACTATTCTATCTCCCACCAGTGCAAATACTTGGGATTCTAATTAGGTCCATTCTCTCCCTGAGTTGATCTTTGTTACTGAGAAATAAGGTCAGATCTGGTTTTCATACCCATTCATGTGGTTAGGCCAGCGAAGGAAGAT